AGTGGGGGGATCTGGATTTGAAGAGGGCACCCCACTTTTTGGGTGTTTTTGAGTGTGGGCCCCAATAAAATCTATAACATTTTAGACTGGGGTGCCTCGAGATTATGCATACTTTGAAAGGGAGCCGTGACTAAAAGAAAGGTTGAGAAACACTGCACTAAGCACACACATACATGATCCGTCTTACTGCCATACCATATTTCACCAGGAGATGGTGCTGCAGTTGAATTGTGGGAAAGTGGACAGGGGGTGGGTTGGTAATATAATTTTTTCCTCGACACACTAGTCACTTCACTCAAATTCTGAACAGGGAACAGTATCGAACCCTCGGTTATAGGACTAATACACGGCAATCAGTGTGAGAAGTATAAATCCATGTTAGCTCCTTTGGGGGAAAGAGAATGATCTCAATGTTCTCTAGAAATGTGCTGCAGGAAAAAAAGCATTGGTGCTTTATAAAAAACATAAATAAATACAAATGCCAATTTCGGGAATGGGTTTGTTTTTTAATTCAATCCCTTCTTGAATTGGTAATGAACTGGAATATACGATTAACTTTACCTCATTGAAAAGCAGTGTTACACATTAGCCCAAGAGAGGAAAACTCAAAGGTCACCTTCACTATGAAAACCAGCTTAGACTAGTCTTTCTCTGGTCTAGGAAGCTGACTTTTTATTAGCAATACACTTGCTGGAAAAAAGTTAATCGGTCACAAACCTGGGTAATTCAAGCACGTGATAGAAAATGCAGAGGTTACCTTCAGTCAAGACTGCATTTCCAAATCAGATTCCGAGGCACAGGTAATGCAAGGTATATACAAACTGTAATCTCTTCTGTAAATTTAAGACTTCTTATTGGATGCGGAAGCTACCTATGCATGTAGAGGACCAATAGAGACACTTGCAAGGTGGGGCTAAGCTCAATGTTCAGAAGAAAGGTGGTGATTTGTAAAGAATGTTCGCTATCAATATCTCAGGATCTTGCAGTTTTTCACTGGCGGTAACCTTAGCTTAGCTATTTTTTCACTCCCTGCAAAGTTTGATTTGCCAGTACTTGTGAATTGTTCACTATATGACCTGCAAAGAAGAAAATTAATAGGCAATAATGTTTTATGGTGCCATTTAGCTAACAGTTATTACATAACACAAGCTGCAGAGTGGTAGTGAACATATTGCTAGTCAAAACTGCTCCGGGTTTGGTAAAATGTTCCCCTTAATTAAAACCGGTCATGGAATACATATGTAGGCTGCCCTTGCAGATGTCTCCTCATGAAAAAACTAGTTGCCTGGCTGACCCCCTTGCTTTTATTGTTTTAGTCACTCACCCTGAACAAGCATGCAAATAAGGGCTTATGACTTTGTTTTACTTTCCTCATCTGCATAGTTGCTATGGGCAGGTAACTCAGCCATACTGTCAACATAGACAGACAACTAGAACCTACAAAAGGAATGTCAGATTTACTTGTGATGAAGCATGTCCAGGTTGTCTGCACAGCACGGAAGAGGCCATTTTGTTGATTAGAAAAATATTCATGCGGTTCCAGCTCATCAACACTCAAGATCACAAGACAGGACAACAGGATTGTTCACCTTCCTCTATACTCAATTCACACTACCAATATAAACAGATACTTGCAGTTTTTGGTGGTATTAAAGCTGAACGTAGAGCGGAGATGGTTGTCTTTACAGCTGTTCAACTTCAGATGATTCAGGGGAGAGCCTCATGTCTATGTATACAAGCAGACTCACCCAGCGGTCTTAGTGGAAAGAGGTTGATAAACTTGGTCCAATTGCTTTTGTTTTTTTTTAGATAGGACATTCCCAGGAGGTATAAACCCTCAAGCCTGGGTAATCTGAACGTGTAGGACTTCATGGGCTGGGCGTTCCCACCTGGGCGTTTGAAATATGACGTATGACTCGCGTTTTGGGCCACGGTTTTTTACTGCGATTTGTGGTCCACAAAGCGTGCGTTCGACGCACCTTTACGAGAGCAATCCGGCTGTATCCTAATAAATACGCGCGGAAATACGGCCCAAAGAAGCCCATAGCACATTATGGGATTTCACTGTATGAGCGTTTTACAGCGCTTGGCACTTCCCTATATTAAGAAATTTGCATTTTTTTTTTTAAACTAACTTTATTTGTGGTACAAAGCCATGTGTGGCTCTCTGCTCCGCACCTCACTATCAGCATGCATGTCATACCATTGGGCAGTACAAGAGCTGCAAACTTCAGGTTGGTAGTACACAAGTGCCAGCGCACAGCCAACCAGCATTCTGTGCATTCTAGGGTGGAAACTCTACTACTGCAGGGACATGGACTCTGCTGGCATTGTTAACTTTACGGACAGAAGTTCCTTACTTATTAGAAATTAAAGGCTGCAGAGAGAAAACAAATTCCTCAACTCAAGGGTAAGCTACCAGGATTTTTTTTATTTTGGGGGTTACATACAGTTTAACTGGGCACTGAGTATTGCATCAACTTGACAACATTCTGGCCATTTTTTTTACCAATCAACCCTGGCTGTTAAATTTGAACAGTCAGAGGCAATGGTATATAAAAATATTGCATCCTGTTGTGCGGGGAAATGAGGCTTGACGCACTGAAAGAAAAAGTTAGCACATGAGCAGTGACGTGTATGACGTAAAGGTTAAGCACAGAGGATTAAGGTAAAAATATAAAGTGTTCCCAACATACCAATCTTCTTCTGTAGATCCTTCCGACAGAGTGCTGTGCCCCTTTTCCATTAGCAGCTCAGAGCATTGGATATACCTTTCGCTTTCAACCGTCTGCATGGTCTCCATCTTAGAGTGAGTGCCTCTGTTGAAGCCCTTCACTTCCTGCTCCTCCAGAGACTCTAACATGCGGATTACTTCTTTATTCACCCCTCTGCGTTTGGCAAGGACGAGTGGGGTGGCCCCTTGGTGATTACTGGGAAGACATTCAAGTCAAGTACATTAAAAGGGAACGCTAAGAAACACTGTTTATAACTAAACTGTCAACGTAACAAAATCCCACAACCATTCAGAACCAACTTGTCTCTTTGTGAAAACATTTGGGGGCTTCCTTGGTGACTATTGTCACCGAGACAGAAAGTGATGGAAAAGCCAAAATGTTACAGCCGTCACCAGAACAGAGACAATAGGGGCACCTGTTTTAGTGGCAATTGTCTAACAAGGGACTTCCCCTTACTTCGGAGAGACTTCCTCACTTCTTGTTGTGTAATCAGGCCAGGAAGTAGGGCTGCAACAACTAATCGACATAATCGATTTTGAAAATAATCGTTAGCTGCAGCTCTACCAGGAAGTGAAAGGAAATCTTCCCATATATAGAACAAACTTTTTGGACAGATTTCAGCAGGTATATCAAAATACTACAATGTATTTGCACATATTTACACCATAGTCAGGTGATGCAAATTAATATTTCACTTTTGGATAAAGTGGGATTGCTTGTTTAAAAAACAAAGATCCTGACAATATTGTCAGTGTCCACCCAACTGCCTGACAGCTGGCTCTGCCTCTCTACAGCCAGAGCCAGCTATGCCCACCCTCTTCCCTGTCTCTCTCCAGTGAGCGCTGGAGAAGCAGAGAGGGGAGGGGGGGAATCCCGGCGGGAAGCAGTGACTGACAGTCAGTGCTCTCTGCAAGGAGGAGGCCGTGAGCCAAGTGTGCGACAGCTGCAGTTCCCACACCAGCTCCAAGTAGCAGTATGCTGTAGAGAAAGACCACTAAGCTATGCATGAAAGCAGCAGTCTCCTTACAGCGGTCCAACATGTTACCTGCCCTGTTTAAACTGCAGCACTGCAATTAGCAGGGAAAGTGCACATTGCTGATTGCAGTTCTGCAGCTATGACCCTATGTCTGCAGTCTCGTATCAGTGTATCTGCAGTGTGAGATCATCTATGGCATTGCTGCCTCATACTGCTCCTCTCATAAGATTTGGTCATGTCACTACTGCTTGACAATCAGATCATCAGGGGGCAGCTCTGGCATGAAAAGGCAATGCTCTAGTAATATGGACATCCATATAGAGACATGTGGAACGAGGCATGGTTAGTCAATAACTCGGAAAAGACCAGGTGCAGAGATACGGCAGGCAATACATGCGACTAGTCCTTTGACCTCTGCTTCCCTTATTTTGTTTGGGTGCATCTTCCACAGTTCTCGTCCTTATTAGGTGAGAAAGAACTCTTTTTAAGATTTGTGATGATGTCACCAGAAGTGAATACTTTCTGTTTTAAGAAGGCAATGTTGTACTATTCCTGCCAAAGCAGCCCAAAAACTTTACAGTGAGACAGCGAGACTTTTGTACCTCATAGTGGAGATTGTAGAGATAGATAGATAAAACCAAATTCCAGCACAACATGCAATGTACAATATGGGGGCTAATCAACCCAGAGTTTTTTTTTTTACTTCTGGACCAGAGAAACATTTGGATATAAAACACAGGGTACCTACCCCTCCCTCATTAACCTCCCTGAAAATCCTCCTTCATAAACATATGACATTTAATAAGCTGGATGCCCAATTGAACACACATAACATGAAACGTTTGTCACCTGGACCTCATTCTTGCTGTCTGAACTGTCTATAGACCAACTGAAGAAAATTATGCTGCTCTTTCAGGATACAAGGTGGTACCTTACCTCGAGGATTGCGGGATCCCTTGATGTCCTCGGAGACCCCGATTGAGCGCATCTTATCCATTAGACCTTTCTTGCTTGCCTATTAGTCCCGCTCTCTTTTCTACCCTTCTCTTAAGACATAATCCGTGTACTCATACCAATTGTACTGTACTGGTACTGATAATTAAATTGTTTTAATTTTTAAGTCCTCTTTTTTGTAGTAGTAGCTCTGTATACATTTCTACCCAAGCCTACTGTGTTTTCTACTATGCATATTTGCTGTATTACTAATAAAAGATTACATGCTAAAAAAACAAACCTAAACAACACAGGGTGTAGGGAACCTAATGCTAAATGTAGATGACACAAAAGGTTAATGATTAGTCTGGAGTTACTGCTAAAATATATACCTGTATAATTGTCACACACACAATTTTGTAAATTCTCTTCACTTTTCAATCTGCACCCATCTATGACTTCCAAAGAAAATTCAAATTTGTGTTGTCTGCAGTTATTGCAACAGACAGGGAGCCTAAAATAAAATGACATGCAAACTCTCATCGCTACCGTAACCACTGATGTAAATACGTGAGCTGAATATCCAAGAATGGCAAAACTCTCCGCAGTAACGCATTTCAGTAACAGTTATACCTGTTGTAGCTACTCTAAAGCTGAGTTCTGGGGTAAAAAAAAAAAAAAAAAAAAATCTTTTGCAGCTCCAAATTATATAAACTGATCAGCCATAATATTATGACCACTTGCCTAATATTGAGGAGGTTCCCCTTTTTTTCCACCAAAACAGCCCTGTGAAGGTATGCTGTGGTATCTGGCACCAAGCTGTTGGTAGCAGATCCTTTAAGTCCTGTAAGTTGGGAGGTGGGGCCTCCATGGATTGAAATTGTTTTTCCAGCACATACCACAGATGATGGATTGAGATCTGGAGAATTTGGAGACTGAGGCAACACCTCCACCACTTTGTTGTGTTCCTCAAACCATTTTTGCACTATGGAAAGATGCATTATCCCTCAGAAAGAGGCCACTTCCATCAGGGAATAGCGTTTCCATGAAGGAGTTAGCTTAGTCAATGTTTAGGTAGGTGGTATGTCTCAAAGTAACAGCCACATGAATGGCAGGACCCAAGGTTTCCGAGCAGAACATTGCGCAAAGCATCACACTGCCTCTGACTTCTTCCCATAGTGCATCCTGGTGCCATCTTTTCCCGAGGTAAGTGACACACACGCATCCGGCCATCCACATGATGTAAAAACAAACAAGATTCATCAGACCAGGCCATCTTCTTCCATTGCTTTGTGGTCCAGATCTGATGCTCACGTGCCTATTGTACAGTAGGTGCTTTTTGCAGTTGACACGGGTCAGCATGGTCACCCTGACCGGTCTGCAGCTACGCTGCCCCATACACAACAAACTGCAACGCACTGTGTTCAGACACATCGGGACAAGTATCAACTTTTTCAGCAATCTGAGCTACAGCAGCTCTTCTATTGGTTAGGACTACACGAGCAGCCTTCGCTCCCCACGTGCATGAATGAGCCTTGGCCACCCATGACCCTGTCGCTAGCTCACCCATTTTCCTTCCTTGGACCACTTTTGGTAGGTCCTGACCACTGCAGACCCGGAATATACCTCAAGAGCTGCAGTTTTGGAGTTGTTTTGACTCAGTTTGTAAAACCTTACACTTGGCCATTTTTTCTGCTTTCAACACATCAACATCAGGGACAAAATGTTCACTTGCTGCCCAATATATCCAACCCACTTCCAGGTGCCATTGTAATGAGATAATAAATGTTATTCACTTACTCTGTCAGTGGTCATAATGTTATGACTGATTGGTGTATGCTAAAATGGGAAAGGAACCTGGCTGAATCCTTGCCAAAGCCAACATTTGAACAACCGCAGCAAAATGCTTAACCAAACATTTTCACTCAAGAAATGCACTGGTATATGACCCTGATCGTGTTGCAATATTTACCCCAGCTGCCTCACATTTGTGTTTTTGGGGATGTAGGGAACATGGCACATTCTACCACATATAGTGGCAGTGGCCAAAGCACAAAAGTTTTGGATAAGAGTATACAATCTTATGAGATCTGTTGCAGAGCAGTTTGAAGTCACCTTTTCAATTGTCTCCTTTTTTGCTTAGTGACAGGGCACATTTTTACTACATTAGCATTTGCAATTCTATTTACAGTCCTTATCTGCATAATGGGCCTGCCCAGTAAGAACCTTTAACAAGGAAAACAGTGCACGGGACACAAACCTACCTATAACAAACACTTACCATATGTCAATTTTAAGGCCATTAGAGACAAGAAACTGAATAGTGTCAACGTGGCCACATAAGTGAAGTGCTGTGTTCCCCTGGTAATCTGTTGCCAGAAGATCTGCTCCAAACTTGTGCAGAAGCTGACAGATATCTACATTTCCTCTGGCCGCGGCCAAGTGCAGGCCAGTGCGGCCACGACTGTCCCGGATATTAGGGTCAAAGCCACTTTCAAGGAGCCGCTTGGAGTAGTTGAAGTCCCCATCAATGCAGGCCTGCAGCAGAGGCACATTGGTCTGGCATGAATCATTCACAAACACATAGGACATGGTTGTATGTGGATGTGCTGTAATAAACAAAAAGTAAAATATTTATTTATAGAATACTGTATTATTATTATTATACAAAATGTATATAGTGCCAACAGTTTGTGCAGCTCTTTACAATACAAGACTGTATATTCACCATGTAAAGGTTTGCTCCACAATATAAAGTCAACGCAACTGGATGACACTAATAAGCTCATTTTGTCACAGGAAATCTTAAAGTGAACTTCGCGCTTTCAAAGTGACACTAAACTCAGGTGTTAAACCTTAAAGTGATATTAAAGGATACATTTCTTCCCCTCCCCCCAATGTTAATGTTAGCACTTACCTTAAATGATGTCTCTTAATCCGATCTTCTTTCCTGATGTTTTCATCTGTCCCTCCAGCGGTGCGGCGGGTCTCCGATCCAGCGCTGACTCCTCTCTGCTTTCTGGCACTTCCGATCCAGCGGTGTCTGCAGGCGGGTGCACGCGTCCATAGACTTACCTTGCGTCTCTGCTTCTCTCCCGGCTAGAATCCGAAATGCGCATGCGCCCGCCCCAAGATGCTTTGCGGCCGCCCGAGCAGTTTCGGATTCTCCGGCGGGAGCGCGTAGCGAAAACAAGGTAAGTTTTAACCGCTGTTAAAGCGGGTTTAAAAAAAAATATAGATAGATATAGGCAAAAAATACATTTGCAAATATAGCCTTCCCTCATTTACCTATTTGTTTCAGTTTTTTACTGGGGTCATCAGTAGTTCTGTTAGTTCAGAACAGACAAATCTCCCTCACTTCCCTGTCTAATACTAGGGATGCACCGATACTAGTATCGGTGCAGATGCAGAGTATTTGGGCGAGTACTCATCCAAATGTTCTGATGCCTAGCCCGATACTTCCGGTATCAGGAAGCTGGGCAGAAAGTCATTAGACGCTGCCCGGCTGGCCGGGAAGCCAGCTCCATGCTCCCTCGTCACTTGTGATGAGGGAGCATGGAGCCGGCTACCCGGGCCAATCAGGAAGCCGGGCAGTGTATAATGACTCGCTGCCCTGCTTCCTGATTGGTCGGGAAGCTGGCCAGTCAGGAAGCTGGGCGCCGTGTAACAACGCAGCACACGCCTTCCGATTGGCCGGGAAGTTTGCTTCATGCTCCCTCATCACCTCATGACGAGGGAGCATGGAGTTGGCATCCCGGGTAATCAGGAAACCAGGCACCGCGTCATTACACTGCACCCGACTTCCTGATTGGCCAGAAAGCCGGCTCCATGCTTTCTCGTCACCTAGTGACGAGAAGCATGGGGACAGCTTCCCTGCTAACCAGGAGGCAAGTCATTACACGCCGCCTGGCTTCCTGAATGGGACTTCCGGTACTTGGTATGCAGTATCGGCAGGTACCGGAAAAATAAATATCGGTACTCTATACCGGTATCGGTGCATCCCTATCTGATACAAAATCTTATAAATGGAAAGTCCCATCACAACCATCTGAGAAGCCGTAGCACATTTATATAGAAAGTGATGGAGGGGTGCTGAGGTTTTGAGTATCATTTACATACTGACAGTGGAAAGGACCCCTGCACTGGACAAAACTGAACAACAGACACAATGCACTGGCACCTAATACATTTATTTTCTATTAGATTGCTTTAAACTTAGCTGACTGTTTGAAACTCATCCTGAGCAGATAAAGTGATGGCTGAATATTATTCCATGTGCCATTAACTTAATTGTTTCCTTATAACTAAACTGACAACATTCATGCACAAAAAAAAACAAAATCTACATACCTCGTGTCCTTAAAGTCAGTAAATTGGAATCCAGTCTTCTGCCTCTACTCCTCTTGGGTTGAGAACTTGTAATCCAATGTATTTACTTTAAGAGCTGGAAAACAGAAGATGATTTCCGGTCAGTTCACATACGTACGAGTTTATTCTCGTGTGTTATACTCAGGGGCATGTTTAGGACCCCAGGCATTACCACTGACTCAATTTTCAGTCAGCTTTGCTGTACACATATACTGGAGAAATGATTCAAACACAGTTACAAGATACGAGATAGAAGCTACTTCTATACTTCTATGGAGCTAGTACATGGCGAGGTTTTTACTGCAGAGTAAATTTTCCCGAACTTCCAAGGCTGTTCAGGTCTACAAATGAATACCAATATAGCGCACCACACCCCGTGCTGTCTGAAGAGCGCCATCTGATGCACCCTCAGGCGGTTTGAGCGGCTGCACTGTGTATCCTTTGACCAATTCTGATGTCCTGTGCAGAAAACTTTGCTGCCTGAAGTGTTTTATTTTACAGCCATTGTGATATCTGGCATAATCTGCAAGTTACCCTGTTTACCAAAGGATGTAATTCAGTGCTGCGCACACCTTCCTCTAGGACATGGTTTTGCTCATCATAAAAGAAGTTTCTTCTCACAACTCTTGCCATCTCACATCATGTACATAATATAGTGCATCCTCCTGCTACCTCATGAACATCAACCTAGTCCAGGGGTAAGTAACCTCTGGCCTTCCAGCTCTGGTGCAACTACAAATCCCATAAGGCATTGCAAGACTCTGACAGCAACAGGCATGACTTCCAGAGGCAGATGCATGATGGGATTTGTAGAGGGCTGAGAGTGCCTAGCCCTGAACCAGTGCATCCTGCTGCTGCTTCACATCCACTGTTCTGCTGTTGCCTCATATTTACCACCCAGACTTTTCTTCCACGCTCTATTTATTCTGATATTGCTACGTCATCTGGTATTTTATGTGTAGTGTTATCTGAATCCCCAAATTGTGTCTAAGCTGAAAGAAAAATAGGGACTACCACTGCTGACCTCTACTGTTAGTTGTTTGGGTGTCATGCTGATCTAATGGCTTAGATACTTTTTGAGTCACTGACCCTAAAAAAAAACATGCAGATCAGGAGATTTCACATCAGTCTGCACACTATACACTATGCAAACTTTGTCTGGTTCTTAATGAACCGCCAAAAATTCACACAGTGCGTGCTGGCTGGAATATCTTGGAATGAACAGAGTCAGCAGCCAATGAGCTGCTGGCCTTGTTTGGGTATTCTGACAGCGGCAACCGTCAGAATAAAATGAAGAAAGCGGGAGATTCCTCAATCAACACTCGTAAGCATTGATGGAGGAATCTGTTATCTTTTCTTTGTTCAGCCCGCAGGTAGAACAAATAAAATATTAGTGTATGGCCACCTTAA